TAACGGGGGTCCCCCGGGCTGGCACAAGAGGCCAGGCCAGAGGCTGGCTCGCCTGAGGTTGCCGTGTAGCATTCACTCTTCCTGAGTTTGGTTCACCCCTGATCAGGCTGTCACTGCTGGGGATCAGTCCTCCCCAGTTCCAGAAGCCCCCTCCTCTGGACAGCCTGAGGCCCATTGAGGCTCCTCCAACTAAAGCAACTGCAGCTGCACCTTCCACCGCAAGGCCTGGCCCGTGCGGCCTGCGTGCCACGGTTGGACACCCCAGGGGTCCTGCCACGTTGCTCACCACCTCCAGCTGGTAGGTTCCAGGCTCGGCCGCCTCCGCCCAGCTGGCAGGGACCTGAAGCCACGGAGGTGACGCATGGCGAAGAAAACCTTGCTCATTTCCCCGGTCAATGACGTAGCGGACGGCCCTCCAGACCTCCAGGGGCCCGGAGTCCATAAGATGCGCTTTGGCCCGGCCCAGGTGTGAGAAGGTTCAGACCCAAGTCAGCAGGGCCTCCGAGTCAAGGGTGCCAGGCTCACCTGGGAAGAAAGGCCAGGTGTGTGGTCAGAGCCCAACGATAATCCGATGTGGAGTGGGTAGGGGTCCTGGGATGTGGCCCAAAGAGGAGATTTTGACCAGTCTCTAAAGTGAAGGAAAGAGCCATAAAAAGGAATGAATCATGTCATTTGCAGCAATGGATGCAGCTGGAGGTCCAATTATCCTAAGCTAATTAATGGAGAAACAGAAGACCAAATACGGCGTGTTCTCAGTATAAGTGGGAGCTAAAAATTACTTACCCGTAGACACAAAGATGGGAAGAACAGACAATAGGACTACTAGAGCAGGGAGAGAGGCAGGGAGACAAGGTTGAAAAAATGACCATATTGGGAGGCCAGGCGCCGTGGCTCACGCCTGTAATCCCAGCATTTGGGAGGCGAGCCAGGTGGACCACAAGGTCCAGGAGTTTCAAGACCAGCCCTGACCGATACGATGAATCCTGTCTCTGCTAAAAATACAAAAATTAGCTGGCGTAGTGTGGGCGCCTATAGTCCCAGCTATTTGGGAGGCTGAGGCAGAGAATCGCTGAACCCAGGAGGTGGAGGTGCAATGAGCTGAGATCACGCTACTGCACTCCAGCCTGGGGGACAGAGCAAGACTGTCTCAAAATAATAATAATAATAAATAAATAAAGAAAACTATCCTATTGGAACTATGTTCACTGCTTGGATGAGGATCAGCAGAAGGCCCAAAGCTCCCCATCATCCAATTTACCCATCTATTAATAACAAAACCTGTACCCTCTGAATCTAAAACGAAAAACAGGCTGGGCACAGGGGCTCATGCCTATAATTCCAGCACTTGGAGGCTGTGGCAGGAGCTGAGGCCAGGATTTCTTTGTTTCTTTTCTTTTCTTTTCGTTCTTTTTTTTTTGAGATGGAATCGCCGCTCTGTTGCCCAGGGCCTGGAGTGCAATGACACAATCTCAGCTCACTACAACCTCTGCCTCCCCAGTTCAAGTGATTCTCCCTGCCTCAGCCTCCCAAGTAGCTGGGATCACAGGTGCCTGCCATTGCGCCTGGCTAATTTTATAATTTTAGTAGAAGACGGGGATTCGCTATGTTGGCCAGGCTGGGTCTCAAACTCCTGCCTCAAGTGATCCCCTCACCTTGCCTTCCAAAGTGCTGGATTGCAGCCATGAGCCACCATGGCCCAGCCAAGGCCTAGATTTCAAGCCAGTCTCTAAAGTGAAGGAAAGAGCCATAAAAAGGAATGAAATCATGTCATTTGCAGCAATGTGGATGCAGCTGGAGGTCATTATCCTAAGCTAATTAATGGAGAAACAGAAGACCAAATACGGCGTGTTCTCAGTTATAAGTGGGAGCTAAAAATTACTTACCCGTAGACACAAAGATGGGAAGAACAGACAATAGGACTACTAGAGCAGGGAGAGAGGCAGGGAGACAAGGGTTGAAAAATGACCTATTGGGAGGCCAGGCGCCGTGGCTCACGCCTGTAATCCCAGCATTTTGGGAGGCCGAGGCAGGTGGACCACAAGGTCAGGAGTTCAAGACCAGCCTGACCGAT